CAGGAATCAGTCTGGAAAGCGCACAATGAAACAAGCAACAATTTCTTCAGAACAGACAGAGGTCGGAATTGAGTACAAAGGATGTCAAAATCCTTGCAATGTACACTGATCACCCGGGGGAGGATTGTTTTTTGTTTTTCATCAAAAGTGGAATTACATTTGAAATAATTAACTGCGGCAGCTTCAAAACATAAGATGTATTTAAAGCATTTTAGATTTCTTGTATATAAAGTAAATATATATAATGAATTGGAAAACAAAAAATGAGGAGGAGTTATGATCTAATCTAACGTGTAATAGAAGGCCCCGATATCAATGTTCTCATCTATTGATTGATACAAGCTTGTTTGTGGTGATCGTTCCGTGTTGTGTGCGTTGTGCTTTGCGTTGTTTGTTATGTGTTTTGTACTTTGTGTGCTGTGTGCTCTGTCTATGTATGTTTTATGTTGTATGTGTGCGTTACATGTTGTGTGGTTGTGTTATAATTCTTGTGTTGTCTTGTCTGGCAAACACAGATAAAATATAGAATAAATCTCTTTGTACTTACTCAGGAATATGACGGCGATGAAGGCAGACATGGCGGCCGTGCTCAGTAAGGTGTGAGTATCTGTCAGCAAACTAGAAGTTATGACACTTTTCTAACTTCCCAAAATTTCATACACAGGAAATGTTTATTAGAGATTATATCTGTTGTTATTGGTTGTTTTACGCTATATCACTCATTAGGCTGGACAGGGCCATACAGGGCTCTCTAAGGAGGGCCGAAGGAAGGTTTTAACTGGCCAACTGAAATAATTTTACCCATCACATTGTAATATGATAACTGCGCCTCTGGAATAAAATAAATGTACTGGCAGTCCCCGGGTTACGAACAAGATAGGGACTGTCGGTTTGTTCTTAAGTTGAATTTGTATGAAAGTTGAAACAGGTAAATTTTTTAAGTGTAACTCCAGCCAAATTCCTGTGACAATTGGATTTTGAAATTTTGAGTTGTCGTGGAAACAAGGACTGGTGATAAAGCTTCAGTGGAGACATCTTTTCCCCATGATCACTCTTACAGGAGTGACTTTCCCTTCCTAGCGGTAGATTTCCTTTCACTTCCTGTTGTCTCAGGAACAGGAAGTGAGATTCAATCTTTCTAATGAGGATACAGACAGCAGTAAAAACCTCAGAGTGACCCAGAAGAAGAGGTGGGCGCCCCTCGTCTGCACGTCTAACAAGAGCCAACTTCCTGTAATGTACGTACAGTACAACGAACCAGACCCAAAAAGGCGGGCGCTCCTCGTCAGCACAAGCGTGGTAGCATTACAACTACCCCTGATGTACAGTAATAGCCTACGTCTGTAAGTAGGAGTCATATGTAAGTCGGATGTATGTAACTCGGGGACTGCCTGTAATATTGTAGACTGGCCCACCTAATATACACTCACCGGCCACTTTATTAGGTTCAATTGCTTGGTAACACAAATTGTTAATCAGCCAATCACACGGCAGCAACTCAATGCATTTAGGCATCTGGACGTGGTGAAGACGACTTGCTGAAGTTCAAACCGAGCATCAGAATGGGGAAGAAAGGGGATTTAAGTGACTGTGAACGTAGCATGGTTGTTGGTGTCAGACGGGCTGGTCTGAGTATTTCAAAAACTGCTGATCTACTGGGATTTTCACACACAACTATCTCTCGGGTTTACAGAGAATGGTCCGAAAAAGAAAAGATATCCAGTGAGCGGCAGTTGTGTGGACGATAATGCCTTGTTGATGTCAGAGGTCAGAGGAGAATGGGCAGACTGGATTGAGATGATAGAAAGGCAACAGTAACTCATATAACCCCTCGTAACATCCGAGGTCTGCAGAATACCATCAATGAACGCACAACACGTCCAACCTTGAATCAGATGGGCTACAGCAGCAGAAGACCACACCAGGTGCCACTACTGTCAGCTAAGAACAGGAAACGGAGGCTACATTTCGCACACGCTCACCAGAATTGGACAATAGAAGATTGGAGAAACGTTGCTTGGTCTGATGAGTCTCGATTTCAGCTGCGACATTCAGATGATCGGGTCAGAATTTGGCGTAAACAACATGAACGAATGGATCCATCCTGCCTTGTATCAACGGTTCAGGCTGGTGGTGGTGTAATAGTGTGGGGGATATTTTCTTGGCAAACTTTGGGCCCGTGATGCTATCATGTCAATATGGACCAAAATCTCTGAGGAATGTTTCCAACACCTTGGTGAATCTATGCCATGAAGAATTAAGGCAGTTCTGAAGGCAAAAGCGGGTCCAACCCAGTACTAGTAAGGTGTTCCTAATAAAGTGGCCGGTGAGTGTATAAGAGATGAAGAATTTTGTACAGCTGACCATCATCTATGGCCTTCTTTAGAGGTACACAGGCAATTTTTAATCTCAAAGATTAAATAAAAAATCCCTGAGATAAAAAAAAATCACTATTTTTTGCTACTGGGTGCGATTTTGTGGTCATTTGACATTCTCTTATAATGTTTTGGTGTATTTTTTTCATAGTAAGGGGAAAAAAAAAAAGCAAAAATACAAACATAAAAAAATAAAGATTAACTGCACAACAATGTAGTTGTTTTCCCTTATTTTTTTGCATATTTTATTGTTATATTGTTATACAAGAAAAAAATAAATACATGAACATAAGGAAAAAAACACAAATATATTTGATTGTACTTTATTTTTACATTTGTCATTTTACTGTATTTACGCCTATTCTTTTTTTATGTGAAAAAAAATGCAAAAAATATAATTTTGTACTTTTTTTTATTTTGTGTATTACTGATTTTGTTTCTATTTTTTTTTTACCTGAGAAAAAAACCCATAAAATAGTTGAAGAGCACTTACAAAATTACCGAGCCATTTAAAGTGTATGAAACCCCTAATAAGGAATGTCTCTTATTTGCTAATTTTTTGTTCTGTTACATATACCATTGAAAGCATTTTGTTATATCTGTTCAATGGGGCAGAAAAATACCTGATTATCATGTGAGAATTAGGCTGACACCATTTTTTATTATTTCAGTCCAGAGAAAGGCATTGTGATGCCAGTGACCGCAGGAGATTAGGGACCCAGTGCATTTCCAGTTGCACTAGGTTTTTGTATGATTGTAGGGATAAAACAGGGAGAAATGTGTATGTATTGTACTGATTTCTTACTCCAAACACTTTGTAAAACTAGAAGTGGTGAAGTTTTCTAAATGGCGGCCGCACATGTGCAAAGACCCCATCTCCGAAGACGGATTGTAGTGCGCATGCACGGGCAACCCAAAAGTGCACGGGAAGACACAAAAAAAGGCAGGTGCACAGGAAATGACATCTTAGCTCATAGGTGGCTATATAAGAACGAGCCTGAGATCACAACATTGCTGATGGTCTTGGCAGCTAGTGCTTCCTGTTTCCTGTTGATTGGCCTGTGACCTGTTTTGACCTGGATTGTCTTGGACCATTCTGCTGCTTGCTGCCTGCCCCTGACCTCGGCCTGTTCCCTGGACTTCGCTCTTGGCTTCTGATTCGGTACCCTGCTGCCCGGCTGGCTCTGATCCTTGGCTTTCTGGACCACGATTCCTGTCTCCTGAATCTGTTCCCATGCCTGCCCACCCGGTTGTGACCTTTGGCCTGCTGACTTCGCTACCAGACGTCTCCTGCAAGGTGTCTGCTTCCATCCGTGGCACTCGTGCTCCTCGCTGCCCTGCAGCCTTCAGTTCCAACCCCAGGGGTTGCAGGACACGAGCCACAAGAGAAGCCTCCTCGTCTTCCGGTCTCTGCCTCAAGTACGTGATACAACCCCATTACATTGTACGGCCAATGCACACAATAATGAGGATTAAAGTATCATTTTGGTTAGAAGGGTTTGAACACCTGTCAGTTTTTAATGTCCTTCATTAGAGAGATACCCCCTCACTTCCGGTCCTGCTGACAACAGTTAAACCAGACAGAAAGTGGGGGGAACTCTACAACAGCAACACAAACAGATATAGACATGCATTTCCTTAGTAGAGTAGGAGAAGACTAGAACCCTGGAAAGATTTGTGTTGTTGAAGACGGGTATCTGTGGAGGGCTGGACTACACAAATATATATGATTTCATAAGGTCTTGGGTCTCCCATGGCTTCTTTCTCTCTATCATTTGGAGTATCCAGAGGATGTCAGAGATAATCCAATGATTATCCAAAGGCTCCAAAAGTCTAGTCCTGATGAAGGGGGATTTGTTGAGCCCCCAAAACGCATTGGCTGTCTTTTTATGAACTTTGCACTGTGACCATTAAAGTTTTACTGGGCCTTTCATACGTTTGCGGTGCTCCCACTTGTCTGCACTTTACATAGTTAATCAGGTTAAAAAAAGACACATGTCCATCGAGTTCAACCTATGGAGATAACACACTTTGTTCTTTAGATTTGTGTTGTTGTTTGTGTCTTTGGGGCAGATTTTCCCTCAACTCCTCTCTGGTAAAACCACTTCAACCAGGACAAGAAGTGAGGGGAAAACTTTATAACAAGGCCCCCGGGTTGCAGCAAAAACCTGAAATCCCAAAACTAGAAAATGGATAGATATTCACCAGGATAGATATTTTTTTTAAATGTACAGAACTGTAATAAAATGTCAGAAGTGGCAAAGCTTGGAAATATTTCTGTTTGATGCCGTCTCTATTCCTACATCGGAGCGCCTCTGTATTTCCGTCCTCCCAGACTCTTCTGATGGTGAGATATCCGAGTGACCATTTCTGTATTCCCCATAAATCAGGAGATTGTGTGTCGTGTGAGCTCTATAGGGATCCCTCTTCTTTGTTTAATCATATTATATCGTTATCAGGTGTCTGTGTGTTTATTTATTGGTATTAAACAATAACATTTCATAAAAATCATTTTTTTTCATTCAACAAGACAATTTTTTAATTTTCAGAATAGATTTCCTCAATGGTGGAAGCTCCTTAAAGGCTCTTCCTCTTCTCATCCTCTTCTCTTCCTCTTCCTCCTCTCTACCACTTGTTGTGGAAGTAGATGAAGCATACAGCAGCAACTAATACACATACAGAGATCACCAGCCGTATTATATTGTGCGCTGTGTAATCTGAGGAGATAAGAAGATGATACATAGTTAAAATAAAACATAATTCCTCCATAGAAATGACTCTAGTCTTTGACGTTGATCTGCTAACTGGTTGGAGGATGTTGACTTTGCAGTTGTTCTTCATGGCAGAAAGTGGGAAGTGAATATTATATATGACTGTGTAGCTGTAATGTGTGATTGCACAAGACACTGGTTCAATTTTATGTGCTCACCATATATTGGGATGTAGAACTCATCACTCATCTTCCTCACAGTGTCAGTCACCGTCCTCACTTCACAGGTATATTTCCCAGAATCCTCCAGCTGAGCCGACTGTACTCTGTATGTATTAGATACACTGAATCCCTGCACGGTCCGTCCATCTCTGTAGAATGCAAACAGCAGCTCTGTGACACCTCGGAGCGGATCCAGTTTGGTGTCACATCTCACCGTCATGTCACCTCCTTTTATCACCCAATACGGGGTCACTTTTATATCCGGAGGAGAGAAGAGCTCTGGATGAGGAAATCATGACAATGATAAATTGATGGGTTTGGGTCTGTACACCCTCTGTGCCCATTATGAGGAGCTCCCACCGTCCCTGTGCTGAGTTCCCGGGCCTGTACACCTGCTGTACCCATTATGAGGAGCTCCCACCGTCCCTGTGCTGAGTTCCCGGGCCTGTACACCTGCTGTACCCATTATGAGGAGCTCCCACCGTCCCTGTGCTGAGTTCCCGGGCCTGTACACCTGCTGTACCCATTATGAGGAGCTCCCACCGTCCCTGTGCTGAGTTCCCGGGCCTGTACACCTGCTGTACCCATTATGAGGAGCTCCCACCGTCCCTGTGCTGAGTTCCCGGGCCTGTACACCTGCTGTACCCATTATGAGGAGCTCCCACCGTCCCTGTGCTGAGTTCCCGGGCCTGTACACCTGCTGTACCCATTATGAGGAGCTCCCACCGTCCCTGTGCTGAGTTCCCGGGCCTGTACACCTGCTGTACCCATTATGAGGAGCTCCCACCGTCCCTGTGCTGAGTTCCCGGGCCTGTACACCTGCTGTACCCATTATGAGGAGCTCCCACCGTCCCTGTGCTGAGTTCCCGGGCCTGTACACCTGCTGTACCCATTATGAGGAGCTCCCACCGTCCCTGTGCTGAGTTCCCGGGTCTGTACACCTGCTGTGCCCATTATGAGGGGGCCCCACCATCCCTGTGC